CTAACAACATTCTAACATAATTCTAACAACATTTTAACAATATTCTAACATATGATTCTAACAAAATTCTAACAAAATTCTAACAACATTCTAAATTAATTCTAACAACATTCTTACATCATTCTATCATCATTTCAACATCATTATAACAATATTCTAACAACATTCTAACATAATTCTAACAAAATTCTAACAACATTATAACATAATTCTAACAAATTCAAGCAACATTCTAACATAATTCTAACAAAATTTTAACAACATTCTAACATAATTTTAACAAAATTCTAACAACATTCTAACAACATTCTAACAATATTTTAACATAATTCTAACAAAATTCTAACATCATTTTAACATAATTCTATCAAAATTCTAACAACATTCTAACAAGGCGCAAGGTAATATACATAGTATCTACATAAATTTTTAAATATTTTTTATGTATAATATGATTTAATAAATAAGATACTAGATTTATCAAAACTTTACAGTAACATCAAATACATTTAGATATTATTTTAATGTTGTTTTCTGGTTCTCACTGTAAAATATATTGAATTGTGATGGGAACAGTGAAAGGAAACTATGAATTATGATGATATTGTTCAATTTAGATGATTCTTTTAAATTGAACAATTATAACAATTTAAATCTATAAACAGAGGACACAAACTTTGTATAAAATCACAACACTGACGTTCAAAACGTAGATTAACAATTACCAATCTGGAAAAAATACAACAAAAAGAATATGTTCAATTTTTAAAATTGGAGAGTTTGACACACCCCAATAATGAAGGAGATTGTAAAATTTATTATTGGTACGTCTTTTTGACCTCGTAGCGCCTCTAGTTTTAATTTTAAGCTCAAAATTATGAGAGAAAATATTATTCGGTTACATACTTGGCATCTATTGCAGAGATATAAGAATTAGAAAATTGAATTTGTGGCAAAGACTCAATTCCATTTTTTATTTTTATAGATTTTTTTAGCAGCGCAAAACGATGGTTAAAAGTGAAACATTTGACCAGGTAAAAATGTGGATGTTTTTAAATTTATGTTTACAGACCTAATTTTGAGTTCAGAATTACGAAGAAAAAAAGCTATAAGAGGTGCCAGCTAAAAAAAGCTTAGTGTATAATTATTTTATATTGTTCTATAATTTTTTGGACAAGGGATGTGTTTGAGTACACAGTACGCGTACAATGTTCCCCGTCCCAAGATCTATCTATCTATATATATTGTATCATAAATACTTGGTCCCTTTAGCGTGGAGTCTGACAAATTTAGGGAAAATGATACTTTACTTGGATTTAAACGTGGTGTTAAAATAATGAACGATGGATGGTTTTATAGTAAGATTTATTCAATTTTAGGGGGTTTTAAATTCTTCTAATAGATGGTAGTAGCTAATTGTTGGCAAGGAGAGGCATGAAAGAGGATAGGAGTGATTTCATTCGATGGGTTGTGTCAGACTGAAGATTTCAACGCTCCGTCCGTCCTTTTCTCTTTATCCAGCCCGGTACGAGTCTAGACATCGTACTTTAGCTCCGGGTCATACTTATAACTGCTAGATGAGACTTTTGTATTTTCACGAACCCTTTTTGGACCCCTATAGTTTCTGTGTTCTTTTAGATAAAAAAGGGAGGGCTCAAAACATAAATTAAAAGTACTATTCACTTAATATCTTAATAAAATACATGTTATCTCAAAATAAACAGTTCACAACACTAATAACATTTTATATTTAGTTACACGAGAAAAGAGTCTGAATAGAAAATTCTCTGAGCGGGACTACGAACATTGTACGCTTATAGCGTACTCACACACATGTTTTTAGTATTTTTCCTACGTAATGGAAAATTTAGATATGTTCAAAAATAATCATCAATTTTACACACACACACCCAGTCTCAAAAAATATATAAAAACTATAATATTTATACTAATACTAAAATATAAATATTAATAAATATAAATATTACAGTTTTTAGTATTTTCTCTACGTACTGAATGGAAAATTTAGATATGTTCAATTATATATCATCAATTTTTTGTATTATTCTTTGCTTTTTAATGTACACTGTATTCTCTTGCAATCATACATATATTAAGTATTTTTGATTCCATGCCTATTAGGGGGGGGGGGCAGTGCTGAAGATAGTTATAGATCTCTGTTTATGACAGCTGTTTCCCGTTTATTTACAGCTGTTTCTGTTCATTAACAGCTGTTTCCCGTGCATTATAGCTGCTTCCCATTCATTTACAGCTGTTTCCCGTTTATTTACAGCTTTTTTCTGTTCATTTACAGCTGTTTCTGTTCATTTACAGCTGTTTCCCGTTCATTTACAGCTGTTTCCCGTTCATTTACAGCTGCTTCCCGTTCATTAACAGCTGTTTCCCGTCCATTTACAGCTGTTTCCCGTTCATTTACAGCTGTTTCCCGTTCATGTAAAGCTGTTTCTCATTAATTTACAGCTGTTTCCTATTCATTTACAGCTGTTTCCCGTTCATTTACAGCTTTTTCCTGATCATTTACAGCTGTTTCCCGGTCATTTTCAGCTGTTTCCTGTTCATTTTATAGCTGTTTCTCGTTTATTCACAGCTATTTCCCGTTCATTTACAGCTGTTTCCCGTTCATTTAAAACTGTTTCCTGTTCATTTACAGATTTTTGCTGTTCATTTATCTGTCTCCCGTTCAATTGTAGCTGTTTCCTGTTCATTTTATAGCTTTTTCCCGTTCATTTACAGCTATTTCCCATTTATTTACAGTTGTTTCCCGTTCATTTAAAGCTGTTTTCCGTTCATTTACAGCTGTTGCTGTTCATTTATCTGTTTCCTGTTCATTTGAAGCTGTTGCCCATTCATTTTCAGCTGTTGCTGTTCATTTATCTGTTTCCCGTTCATTTTCAGCTGTTTCCCGTTCATTTTATAGCTGGGTCCCGTTTATTTACAGATATTTCCCGTTCATTTACAGCTGTTGCTGTTTATTTATATTCATTTACAAAAGTTTCCCTGCAATTTAATTTGTATTGCCAACCATCTCTTGGATAAATAAATAATAGAAAATATTGGTTAGTAACTGTAGGGATGATCATGTACCATTTCCTTAAGTTTTTACGTACATGGATTTGTACTTTTTCTTAACGATGACACATAACTAAAACAAACAAAAATACCCCGTTTTGAAACTTTTGAAACTATTAACGAAAACACTTTATCCCTTTTCGGTAAATTACCTACTATTATAGGTTTCGTTTTGAACCAAAAAGATTTTTCAACCTTAGGTTTAAAACAGAAATGATTGTTGTAAGAAATTACAAAACCGATGCAAAACCGTTGAGATCATTCAACACCGTATATAGATTGTGTACGCATTAGGGACAGGGATGGATGAAGGCATGTTTCTAATGCAAGGAAAGTTATTTCAGAACACCCCGGACTAACCAGAGTTAGAGGCATTCGGTTTCTTCTATTTGTAATCATACGCGTTTTGGTTTATATTTTACCAATCTTTAAAGTTACAGATTTGTTTGTTTAATACTTTTTATTTTAAACGTATATGCCGGCAAAAAAAACTATTTAAGAAATAAGGCTGAAAAATTATGTTTAATAGGAAAAATTGGGATACAAAGTCATAGCTTTCTAGAATATTGACAGAACTATTAAATCCACATGAGAGGTGAACGCATTTTCTGTAGTGCAGTGTAATGCACTTTGGGCGGAAGAGTAAACACAAGATAGATGTCACACCCTGACATGGAATCAATTTTCACAAAAATAATCTTTGAACTATTCTGGCCATAGGAAAATACTATGTGAAATTTTAAAATCATCAAAATTAAATGCATATAACCTCCTTGGATACCAAATGTTCACTGAGGCATCTATTCTCGTTTACAAATTCCGCCCAGAGAGAACTGGTTTCAATATGTACGCAGAGTATACGCAACTGCAATTAACTTTCCTTGCATTAGTACCTTGGATGAAGGCAATGATCTATATACATAAATTTCACTAGAAGGGGAGCATTCATTTGGTGTACAATCCTGTTTTGCCTGTATTTGTACTGTACCGCACTGTACATGAAATGAACTGAAATGTACCATGTATACTGTATTGCTCAACATGGTGTCAAAACAATATCAATATTTAAAAAAGAAAATATACACATAGTAATAGAAATATAACGATAATGAAGATAAGACATTTTGTAAAATCGTTATAGATAATCAGATAAATAATAATGATAATAATTGTAATAATAATAACAATAATAAAAATAAAATGTCTTTTCTTCCACAATCATAGGTTTACAGCTATCGATGGGAATCATTGGTTTACAGCTATAGATGGGAATCATAGGTTTACAGCTATAGATGGGAATCATAGCTTTACAGCTATAGATTGGAATCTTAGGTTTACAGCTAGAGATGGGAATCATAGGTTTACAGCTAGAGATGGGAATTATAGGTTTACAGCTAGAGATGGGAATCATAGGTTTTACCAAACAATCGGTCAGGTCAGTGAGAAAAAGAACAAACAAAAATGAAAAATGAATAATACTTTAGAGAAGAAACAAAAAATTGAAAAAAAACTGAGCACCTATCTTTATTCAAGCAAGCGTGCAATTGTGATAAAATAAAAGTTTTTTTAAACAAAAAATAATAATTTCTAATGGAATATTTGTCTTCTTCCACAAGCATTTCACAAAAATATTTAATTTTTAGTCACTAGTAAGCGTACAATATTTTTCATATGAAAATAGTACAGAAAAATGAATATTTTTACAACAGTTACTTGGTTACGTACAGAGTGGCACAAAAAAATGATTTAAATTATTAGACAATGGGTGTGTTTCAGTACACTTGTTAGCGTATAATGTTCATTTTATGAAATTTTACCTTATCACAATGAAAAATGATGTTTAGGGTGGTTTTCAGATTTTAAAAATCATCCAATTTTCGGGAATGGGGACAAGAGGTGTGTTTGAGTACACAAGTTAGCGTACAATGTTCCTAACCTCTCATATATATATTGGGAGAAGTGAGCAGGCCTTTATTCAAAACAAATCATCCTTACTTACAGCCTATACACCACACAGTAAACACGGTAGGAAGAATTTTATTGAGACTTAATTTTAAACATTTGGAATTAGACTGACATTTACTAAGTTTGGCAAAAAGATGGATATCTATAAAGGATATTTATAGATAGGAGTATAACATTACAAAACAGGACTTTACATAGATAGGATATTTGTAAATGTGACATTTCTTATATATCATAATGAGATTTTATTTTTAAGGATAGGGCACTTTTTTTTACATAGATAAGACTTTTCAGAAGAAAGAACTGTGCATACATTGGACTTTACATAGATAGAACTTTGCATAGGTAGAACTTTACATAGATAGGTCTTTATATAGATAGGACTTTACATAGATCAGACTTTTCATAGATAGGTCTTTACATAGATAGAACTTTACAAAGATAGGAATTTACATAGATAGCACTTTACATAGATAGGACTTTACGTAGATAGAACTTTACACATGAGAACAGTGTGCATAGAAAGGTCTTTACATAGATAGGACTTTACATAGATAGGACTTTACATAGATAGGACTTATAAAGATAGAACTTTACATAGATAGGACTTTACACAAGATTAGACTGTGCATAGCAAAGATTTAGCATCGAGTTACACACAAGTCTTTATCTGTTGTTGTCATGTTCTTAAAATAATTCTAAATCTTCTGCTTTATACAAATACTAAGTGAATAAAAAAGTATAATATGGGATTAGAGAGGTCTTTCATTAAAAAGGTTTTAAATTTTGTCAATATGATTCTATTACACGAGAAGGTTCCTAATAGCACTTCAAATACTTTCCTCTAAGCATATAAGTGTATAATATAACTATAACAAAAATTTAAAAAGTTATTAAAGAAAAAATTGAATGTGTCAAAGTTATAAAACACCTTGTAAATATTCTATATTATGAAACACCTTGTAAATATTCTATATTATGAAACACCTTGTAAATAATCTATATTATGAAACACCTTGTAAATAATCTATATTATGAAACACCTTGTAAATAATCTATATTATGAAACACCTTGTATTTATTCTATATTATGAAACACCTTGTAAATAATCTATATTATGAAACACCTTGTATTTATTCTATGTTATGATACACCCTGTATATAAATATTATATATTTGTCTAGAGATGAGAGGGCTTATCATTGTCTGTCTCTCAGCTCTTCTTGCTTCATGTTATGCAAAGAAAGAGTCCAGGTTTGTAGCATCAATGTTAGGGATGGACAATTTAGTTTTTTTCAGAAATCTTTTAAACTTTTGTCAACGATACCAAAATAATATTTATGCAAAACTTTTAAAAAGGTGACTTTAAAAAATTTAAAACCGTTCGTTTTCTTAATAAAAACGTTTCTTTAATCGTTTACCATTCGAAACACCAAAAACGATTTTTAAAAATCGGTTTTCGTTTCGTTTTCTAACTAAACAATCTTCAAAACTAATATTTAAAATTAAAAGACTATCATTTTGTAACACATTTTCTGAAACATTGCCAAGTCATACCTATAGTCCGGAGTACCATTGTGAACTATAAAATAGTCCGGCTAGTACCTTTGTGAACTATAAAATAGTTCGACTAGTACCTTTGTAAGCTATAAAATAGTCCGGCTAGTACCTTTGTAAACTATAAAATAGTCCGGCTAATACCTTTGTAAACTATAAAATAGTCCGGCTAGTACCTTTGTAAACTATAAAAAAAACGTTATTATAAAAATCTTTAAAATTCTAATTCCCATTAGATGCCATTAAAAAAATCGTGCTGATAAATAAATAAATTTTTGACTTTTTTTCTACGATTTGTTCAAACAGACATATCATATCACAGGTTTACGAAATCATGTTGCAAAGATATAAGGACCAGATAATCAGATTTTTAGGCCTGTCATTTGTTTAGTTGTTTTAAATTATTAGGATTGAATATGTCGGGAGGTTACAGAGAGATCTGTTTAAAGATTATGATTCTGAAATTATTCCTCTGGTTGACAGCCTAGACGGAAAGGTAAGTTTTTTTTATCAATTTCTAGAAAGATTTATTCTCTAATCTGTAAAATATAAACTAAAATGATTAAAAGATCTTCATTATTATAGCAGCTCCGAGGTTTCTATTGAATATAGGGGTTTACGTATAACTTTATAACTTTCGTACATGTTTTATGGGAGATAAAATCATTTAATTTTGAATTTGTGTTCTCTTGTTATCCTTTGATTTTTTGTGTATTTTTTATTTATTTTTTATTTTCTTTATGTGATCCAAAAATTGAGAATTAAGTTTCTCAATAAAATTCTAGGTATTTGAGTTTTTCAAGAAAAACTTTTTTGTCAGAAAAATCAAATTGTACATAGGACATCGTTTTTTTAACGAACGAAAATTTTGAGAACAAACGAACTATGGATTAACAAAAGGGATCGTTTAGAGAAATGAAAAAATTATCGTTTCATAAAAAGAAACGGAAAAAAAGATTTTAAATCGTTTGAACAATTTTGTTTTGGTTCGATTTTTAACTGAACGAACGAATTCTGCAAATATTTTTTTTAAAACGTTCGTTTTTTACTGAATTAACAAGTTTTTTCGAACACACATTTTAGAACAATAGTTTTTTACTAATCTAACAATTTTTTAGAAAAAAATTTCAAAAAACCATCATTTGTTTGGACCAAACTATTTATTGAACGGACAACTTTAATGAAAGATCGTTCAGTGAAAGAAAACATTTAAAAAAACAAAGTCCATTATTTTGTGAACGATTGAAAAAAAACCGAACATAATGGGCCGTTCATGAACAATGAACGGACGAAATGAAAAAACGTGCTAATCTCTAGTTTCACACAAAAAATAAGCTTGTGCAATGTGTTGCCAAGTTTGAGAGAAAATATTATATTCTAGACTGGGTTGAATGTTTCGGTTGGGCTGAACATGGTTTATATGGATATGACTGGTGAAGGTATAAAATTGATTAAAATTTGATTCCCTTTTCATGAACTACGTAATTTTGTTTAAATAATACTTAAAATCCCATCTGCTACCCAACAGTATACACCACTAGCCATTGTAATTACAAAAAAATATGTAAAAAAAAGATATTTTGTCTGTTTGGTCAATTTGATATGATTTAATGTCTACCAGGTCAACTTGCTATAACTCAATGTCTACCAGGTCAACTT